GTGAATTCGTCCTTTAAGCTGACGGACAAACTTATGGGAGTCCAGTTCAAGACCGAAATTTCCACATCTTTTTCACTAAGTACGCGATGGGGAAGTATTTATAGAAACTCCATCCCTGCTTCCTAGTCTTCCCCAACCTTGAGATAACGCTCGACGTCTGCCGTTACAATACATTGCAGAGCGCTGAGAAGATGGATCGTTTCAGAACACCGATTTTCTTTAGTGAAGAATATGTACTATGCTACTATTTTCTTTGGTGAAGAATATGTACTATGCAGCTAAGCCGCAATACGCGCAGATAGACGAGGGAATCAAGCATCATGGCTGAGTCCGACTGAGGACCAGCTCTAAAACTTTTATTTTTCCTGGTCGAGGGAAGCAGCTCACTTGAACAACTTCTCTTCTTCTCTTCACTCAGTAGTCCTTCTTTATTGTTTATTTCATCTTCTTTTTCATAAATTTTTACTTACAACTGTTTTAATAGCTGCCATTATAGTTATCAGTTGATGTTATAATTTTTTCTTTTCTTTCTGAGTCATGCAGTCAGTCCCGCTTCGCCTGTTGTAGCTGGCGCGTCATTGAACGCATAAACAAAGAACAAGCAAAAACTAGCCGTAGTGGTGAAGAGACTTGTGAAAAGACTACTGCAAACCATTCTCTACGCTTACGAGCCGCTCTGAGAATAGATAGCATGGAACATACCCAAATCAAGGTTTAGGAAGGGCAGAGTGTTCTGGCAGAAGGTGATCCGGTTTATATCTCAAGATGGCCATGATCCTGAGCGTTGGGTAGGGTACAGAGCCTATCGTGGACGGTTTGGAAAAGCATGAAGAAGTGGAGGACCTAAATACTCTTCCGATGTTTTGCTGTTCTCGCTTTGTTTTTAATTCAAACTTTCCTGAGTGTTTACTGGATGCTGTTTGTTTTATTTCAGGGTACTTGTTTCTTGTCTTTTGTCTTCATCAGAGGAGTGTCTGTGCGGCTACAATGGTGCGAAGGCGAAAGAGTGGAACTCCTAAAAATGAGAATGCTGTCAAAACGCCAATCATTGTGGAACTCGACGAGTCGGATAAAAACAATTCTGATCCTTGGGCTTCGATTGAAAATGGCGATGCTGTAACAGCACGTAAGTTGTTTTCTTAATTGGCAGGTTTCATGTAGACAGACTGCAGGCATCTGGCAGCAGAGCAGAAGGCGGTAGCCTCTGTCTATCTGCTCACCTTCAGGAAATAGCAAATTTTGAGTCGCTTCTAAAGTTTTTTTTTCTTTATAAATTGTCCCATCATAGTGACGGCTCGCATGTGCTTCCCCTTCTTGTTACTATTGTTTTACCTATTTTTTTTATTGTACTCATTATTATTATTGTACACATTACATTATTGTACACAAGCGTTAAAGGACCAAGTTGCTGTTACTGTATTGAAGGAACGAAATGAATTGTCAAGTAAGGACTATGCTTAACAAATTTGGTTGTAGGGTGTATGGTTGTCAAGTCTTTCTATTAGTCATTCTCACCTTCGAATTGTTCGTAACAGGTCTAAGCTCAGGCTTCGACCACTGCACACTTTTGATGAGATGACAGAACTTGAAGACCTCTCCTTTATAAAGAGCTGGTGCCACTCTGTTCCAAAGATTGCCATTGAGGAAATTTTTTACAGGCGAAGTTTTCTATAAGAAACCTACTCCGCAAGAGCCACGTATCAAACATTATGAGAGGGTAGGTACAGGAAATATTTCTTCATTTTTATGACCTTTGCTGTTCAAGTGTTAGCTATCAACATAGAGATCATAAGTTTAGTTCAAGAATAAAAAGCAACGCATAAGCGACGGTTCGAATGCGAAGCGTATTGAAATGCACGCCGGACAGACGAAAGGCATCAAAAGGAGAAATCGCACAGAGGATGCAGAAAACAGCGAAAATTCACCTGCTCAGAAAATGCCTGTAAAGAAACTGAAGACAAGTGAGTTCGTCAAAGCTTTTAGGCTGCCACTCAAATGTATATATTGGTTTCTTAGATGATGAAAATGGAAACGTCAACAAGGAAAACGTCACATTTTTGCTAGTGTCATCAAAAGCAAGGGAACGGCTCTTTCCAGAGAAGAAAAAAGGGGTGAGGATACGTTATTGCTTGTTTTGAGAGCACCTGCTAGCAATATCCTTTTCAGAAGAAGCGTCGGCTGAGTCACACTCAAGCGGAAGAAAAACGAGAAAGGTGGGTGTTTTCTGTTTCTAGCACAATTTGTATGTATGGGGCAGAGCGGTATGTTCGGACCAGCTAATTATCTGAAGGAACAGTTCCAGATCAAATTGGTAGGGGGGTATCAGCTATATACCGACAATGATAGCGAGGAACGGTTTGTCTAGAGTTTTGAGCAGAACTGCATCAGTACGATGCGCCTATCATATCTATCTATCCATGGCAATCTTACCTGCTAGGTCGGAATCCACGTCGCGTGTAGGGAGTAAATGAGAAGTCTTGTCCATTTGTCCTGTTATTGAGGTACCAGTCTTTTTCGCGCGGTTTTGAGTTGCAAACGGCACTTTGGAATACTCGGGTGCAACTTGATCTCACACACAGAAGATTGTCTCGTGCACTCTATCTGGGGTTGTTGTTTGAAATGTTTACAACAGTTTCGGTTCAGAAAACCATCCGACAATTCACTAGTCGTTATGCGAACAAGGAGGAGGAACAGGCACTTGCATTGCGTCGCTTTCTCTCCCCCTCTCGCTCGCTTTCTCGTCCCCCTCAATACACCAGAGCGTCGTTCGCCTAGTGTATCGAGAGTGGCCCTCCTGAAAGGACTTTCTACTTCTTTTATGGATTTTCAAAGCAACAGCATTATAACAATTACTCCAATTTAATAATATTCAAATTCAAATTTTTACAGAAAACGAGGAAAATATGGACGGACTGGAGAGTGACGGTTCCTATGGTACGTCGATAGTTTGTTCCTCTCTTCTTTACTATTTGAGTGTCTTTGCAAAAGCTGCTATCAACATTTTTATATAGATTCCGATGAGGATGAGGACTACGAAGAAGAGATTGATGAAGAAGATGAGGAGGTTGAAGATGGTGTCGACGATAGTGCAGACGAAGATGCTACCGATGATGAAGCCGTGGAAGGCAATCGAAAAGTCAGCTTCGTAGATGTAAGTCGTAAGATTTCTCGATTATTAAAAGTCACTAATATCATATAGGAAGGGCCGTCTCTTGTGTCAAGTTCGACGAGGGGGTGATATTTGTGGTTTTGGAGAGGTCGATAGAGTAAGGAATTTCTTTACGAAACATCGGGAATGTGTGTATGTGCCCAGTGGAGGAGGGGAAGGAAAAAAGCTTGTCCTTCAAAGTCATGGTTGATCTTATTCCTATGTGTACTTCAGAGACTATAGTTCGTTATTTAGCGCTTTTATAGTGCCTCGACATTTCACAGGTTAGCTACATTGGTCCTATGATCTCCAGATACTTCCGCTACCAATTGGAGATATACATGATTTCGTTACTCCCTATCCAGTCGTTCAATGTATCTTATCTATATAGATTTATCGATTTCATCTTTTATTTTGCTCTATTCTTCAGGAGCCATCGCACAGTGAAGGTAGCGAAGATTTGGATCAGTCATCGGAGGGTGAGGAAGTAGAGGATGAGGAGGTACAGATTTAGTTCTCCAACAATTTTTTTTTCTATCGGCGTGGACGATTTATATTGTGCTGTGCTGTGATAACAATAAGTTAAAATCTATTAAGGACGCTCATGTTGAGGACGAGTCTGATGAGGAAGACGATGTGTCATCAGATGAAGATAGTGGTGAAGATTCTGATGGTGAAGCAAGTCTTGGTGAGGACAGAGAAGCAGTTGTGCTCAAGGTATTCTGAGATTACGGCTTTGATTGTATGAGCTCAAATGACCTTTGTTGACTTGGTGATAGAATTCTTAATTAAATTGTTGAAACGTTCAATTTTTCAAAGTTAGTACTTCATTTCAGTGCACTGAGTCTGATGCAATATTGGTTCTTCCGGATTTCGACAAGTTTCCGTTCACCGACGAAGACTCTAGCGTTACAGCGACCCGTGCTTTTGCTTGGATGGTCGCCCGTGTGATGTTCAGTCGTTCTTCAAGTTGGTTATCGGAAACTGCACCATTTTTTAGACCTTTTGTCTATTGGTGAACCTGAATAAATTATTCAGGGACTTCTTCCAATCGAATGCGCTTATTGCGAAACGTGGAACTCCGAATTATTACAGCAATTTATATTCCACAGAGCACTTTGTTGAACTCTTGGAGAATGTGAGTTGGTGTCTTCAACATTTTCTATCATTCAGAGCGAACAGCCTTGCTTAAAATTGCTACCACCAATCTCATTTTTCGTTGTTATTACTGTTCCACTTTCTTAAGATTTCGAAAATTTCGATTGATGATGTTTTTGCAGAATCATCTGGAGTACGGTACAAACATCAACATAGCTGAATATAAGGATGGTGTTCGTCTGACTTTGAATGGGAAAGGTCGTGTCTATCCTGATCACATCAAGGAACACCTTTCGGTAGGTCACTCGATACAGTCCTTTTATAATCAAATACTGGTCAATCAGGTAATTGAGACCTAATTTCAGTTGGGTCGCTCTGTGCAATTCGTAAATCCACAGACGTTCGATAATCGTGTGTGGTATCTGTGTGAAGTCCTGCAGGAGTTGTTCGGCTGCTTCGTTGGAGCAAACACGTGAGTATTGATCGATTAGTTAATGAATTTTATTCCAACGATTCATTTGACGCGATAAATAATAGCGTAAATTTCAGATACCTAACGCCACCCGGCTCGGCAGGTTTCGCACCCCACTGGGATGAGATTGATGCTTTTCTACTTCAGCTGGAAGGCAGGAAATACTGGAAAGTGTATGCTCCAGATTCTAGAGATAATGAATTACCGAGGGAATCTAGTGGTGAGCTAGCAAGCGTGAGATGACCCGTTGCACTTTTCACGTATGATTCTTCTAGGAAATTTCACCGATGAGGATATGAAGGATCGCAAGCCAACTTTTGAAGGCTGGATCGAGGCTGGCGATCTTTTATATATTCCACGTGGATTTATTCATAACGTAATCATTTGAAAAAAGTATCTGAGCATCTTTGTGTGAAGTTCTTTCAGCAGTTTTTAGGCTACGACGGATGACGATGTTCATTCGCTTCATATCACCATTTCAAGTGGGAGGTTATGGACCTTTGCTGACCTCCTCGAGAAAATCGTAAGTATCTAACTCAATCAGTGACTGGTCTCAAGTCATCCATCTGGTACGGGATTTTATATCGGGAAGACTTAGGTACCTGAAGCCGTGACAACCTTAGCGAAGAATCGTTGGAAAATGCGCAAATCGCTGCCGGTTGGGATGCTTGACATGAACGGTGTAGCCGAGATAGACTACCGTATGGAGGAGCATTTCGAAGACGAGTAAGCACGAATACTGGTTTTTCATTCTGTTGCTGTTCTGTTGTTGGTGTGCTCAAAAGGAAAAGAACACCAACCAAAGATGACATGTGTATACATCCACTGTTTACTTTGTTTATGTTTATTTGTTGAATAATTCCAATTCATATTTTGATAGTAATATTTTACTCAATCAATCAAAATCTGCTTCTGATGATCATATAAGGTAATGTTTTGAATATTCAGATGGAAGACAGTGGTTGATCGGCATGGATCACAATGAACAGTTATCTCGCCCGAAAATTGCGCTGGAGAGAAGTCTGCGACTGGGGCATTAGATTTGATGGCTCGTGTTTCATGACGGACGTGCATTACCCCTCTCTTCTTTGCTTTAACCCTTAAGGTTGTAGGTTATGTACGTTTCCCCGAAACGAAATGTCGGCTTATATGAAGACTGTCACTTACGTTTGTTCCTCTTCTTCCAGTTCAAAGCATTTTCTGACTGTTTTTCCTCTTCACACCAATTCAATCGTATAATTTAACTGGGGAATTTGATGTAATTAGTGGCAGTGCAGTTGGTTAATAGGTGGGATGGGATGGTATTTTGGGGGTAGCCTTTGCATCACATAATATTGACGCGTCACGGTGGCGGGCTGAAGGGAAGTTACGACACCTGTAAGCCCTTTTTCAGAGGAAAAATCACACAGTGTAATTGGAAGTGGAATGGACATTCTTCATGGAAATGTGATGGAGTTCCGTCCGAGCTCCAAAGTTAGGCTCATTCGAAGGCATGCGCAGAGGTATTCTGAATTATTTGGTGTCGTGGATTTACTTCCCCTATTCTTTTTTGTTTCTCTCAGACTGCTGTTTGAAAGTGAAGATAGTTGCTACATTGCTCATCGAATGGCGAATTCTCGCCTGTACGAAGGGCTTCCTGAGCAAACATTTGAGTTACCAATTGAGGTATGAATTTTCGTAAAAAAATCGTCTCAATTTTTCTAGGTGGTTTTTTTCAGTTTGTTAGTGGGTTCAACGCACTCTGTAACAGCTATCCTGAATGGATGTCCCTCTCTGAGATGCCTGAGCAAATGAACGGCGCTGAAGTACAAGCGCTTTGTCATCTGTTGTATTACCACGGATTGCTTATGGTTCAGCAGCTGCCTGACAGAATCAAAAGGAAACTCAAAAAAGTGAAAAATTGATGGGCAAACAGCGGCTCAGATAGTTTTGATCCGGTTGTTAACATCAGGTATACTTTTGCGTGTTGTTCTTAATAACTACGGTGTTTGTTACTTGTTAATAGTCATATTCTTGTTATGTTTTTACTGAAGTTTAGCATAAACTCCTTCTTACTTGTTACCGAAGTGTGAGGCCGGGTCAGCGAGCTGAGTGATGTTTGAAAACTGACCATGAAAGCTGTTCTGACTAGGTGTCGTCCTTGTTTGAAGCAAGAGTTTTCTGTCCCAGCAGGGTTTTTTTTCTTCGACACTAATGGTGTGGAACGATGCGCTAGCCCTAGTCAAGAACATAAGAAGTGTGACTGAACAAAAAACTCACCTTGGAAAGCCGCTAGAAAGGGAGTTGAACGCCTTCGAAGTGGGCGTGGCGTCATCGGTCACAACCCCCACTTGCCAGCCGTGGAGATTGCGTGCTTTGATGCGGGTCTTTGCGCGATTGCGTGTAACTGAACCGCGTTTCAAAATTAATGCTGCCTGTTTTTGGTGATTCGGATAGCTCGTCCGACAGGCCCTTTCCTTCATTTCTATTTGCTGGAAGGGAAGAGAGGGCTGTTTAAAGGCTTCGTCGGCGGTTTTTTTCGCTTTTCCATTAGCAGTCAACTCGACATCTACAACTTCTATCAACCGTTTTTACCCCGCGAATTCGATCTGGAATTGTTGCTTCAAGCACAG